TCTTTGTCATGAAAGTATCTCATTTCTCCATCAATTTTGAAAGATAGTTTTGCAGGGTACATCAATCTGGATAGGAGGTTGCTTTCCATTAGGGCTTGAAATACATCACTCTAAGCTCTACTTGATGTAAGGATTTGTGTTGAGAAGTCTGCTGTGATTCTGATGGGCTTTACTTTGTTTGTGATTTGTCTCTATTCTCTAACTGCTTGTAGAATTTTTTTCTTCTGTTGGGTTTCTGGAATCTTAACTATTATATACCTATGTGTAGATTTTTAAAATCATGGCTAATTAGAGTCTTATATGCCTCACTTATCTATATTTCAAGTTATTTTCTATGGCACCTCCCTGCTTTTTCTGCCTCCTCCTTGACATGAAGTGAGCCATTTTGCTCTGCTGTGTGCCCTCTGCCATGATTTCTGCCTCAATGTGAAAATAGAATCAATGGGGCCAGCTGACAATGGTCTGAAACTTTAAAATGATGAAATAAAATAAACTTTACTCCTTTAGGTTGCTTTTTTGATGTATTTTGTCATAGTAACAGAAAGCTAACACAATTTTAAAAATGTATATTAACTATATGCATCCATGTAGTTATTTGTAACTCCTTACACATATTAACTTCTTTAATCATTAAGTAATCTCATTGTAAGACGCTGTTACTATCTCCACTTAAAATTGTAGGTCAAATAATTTGTCTAAGGTCACAAATTATTAAATTGAAGACTCAGGGTTCAAATAATTGCATTCTGCTCCTGGGCCAAAGCTCTTATGTACTACTATGTTATACTATTCTAATTTCCACATTGCTATAGGTAAAAACCTTCAGCTTAGTAGATCTATGGTATAGACATCAGTCACCATTCATTCCAGTACCTGACATATATTTCAGACTTTCAAGTCCAGATGATTTTCCCTTCTACAGAGATTTTAAATGCATGAATCCCTTTTTCATTCTTTAGAGTTTCTATACTGTAGCCCTATCTAATATACATTTTCAGCTGGGCTACAACACAACTTTTCTGTGACTAAACTACTCTATCAGTGCTCCACTTTCTCATGGTATTTTTTTTCATTTACTCATAGCCTTTGTCTCTTATGAGGTTCTTCTCTTTTACCTATTTAGCTCTCATCTATTTCTAGACCTTAATAAAGCTCCCTCAGAAATTTTGAGCATTTTATCTTTGTTTGCTTGTTGTGTTCTCCATGTAACAACTGTGCTTCCTTCTGCATTTCACTCGATAACATTTGTTGCATTGGCTTCTATTATACCTGCCTATCTAAGCTGTACATTGAGATCATTTTGTAAGCAGCACTGCAAAATAGAATAGATTTTTCATTGCTGCTGAGTACATAATAAACACCCCTCCTCTCTTCATCCCAGATAAAGCAACAGAATATGCAGGTACCAGCCCCAGGAGGCAGCAATGCACTTTCCTTCCCATAAGAAAGTTGTCAATGAGCAGTAGATGGGTGGAAATGATAAAGCAAGCATGGAAATCTGAATTATCTCTCTGCATTTCCCCTTCCCTCTGTTCCTACAAAAGACTCACTTGTACAAGGCAAGATTCTTATTTGAGGCAAATGGGTCTTTCCATCTCCTTAGAGACAGCTTTGAGTAAATCCCTTTTCATATTTTACCAAAATATAGCACCTCTTTTGATTTGTCAGTGGTTAGTAAGTAAGCTTAAACATATGAGCCTGAGTGACTGGTAACAAGTCTAGAAATTTCTGTGCAATCTTTAAAGCACTTGATCAGTACATTGTAGTAAAAATGTTTACTGGTTATATACTAAACATTAATTTAGCATTTATTTTATGATCTCTTATGCTTGGCTTTTGGTTCTATTGGAAAATTTAGGTGTTTATATCATTTTTGGAGAATTGGGCATATTTTTGTCTTTGATTTTATTTTTCTGATTTTTTTTTGTTTGTTTTTTGAGACAGGGTCTCACAATGTAGTTGAGACTGACCTGGAACTCACTATGTAGCCCAGGCTGGTCTCGAACTCACAGTGATCCTGCTGCCTTAGCCTCCCAAGTGCTGGGATTACAGGCATGTGCCACCACACCTGGCTCTGATCTTTTATCTTTATTTGGTTAGGCCAATTTTAAAGCAAAACTTCACTTTTTCCTCACTGTCTTGTACATTTGCCTTGTTACAAAATTAAAGTCTACTCAAATTGAGTTACATATTTACTTTTTATCCCTTGATAGTATTTATTTTCAACAAACTATAAATTTGTGTACTTTCCTCAACATTCAAATGAATATTTTACAAAATTATTTCTCTCATTGTCTTTTAAGGTTTACTCTACAAAATAATTTCTTATACCTGTACTGCTATTATAAATGCTGTGTTTAGAATGAGTACCTTATCATTATGATTGTCACTATCATTAATCACAAAGTGCTTTCTTGAGTAGGAAAACTTGCTAAAGGATCCATAGATTTAACATCAGTAATCAAAATTTGGAGATTTAATTTTCAAGAACAAGTATATCCTTTTTATTTACAAGAGGAACCAAAGGCAAAACCAAGAGAACTTTCATTGCCTTCTTAGTAAAATATTTAGCTGGTACTGATTTTTTAATCACTTTAGTAGCATATTGCTCAAACATTTTTATATACTCTCACAGAACTTTTCTGCCTCCATCTCAAATTATCTGAGGAGGAGAGGGAATGACAAACTTTTAAGCAGATAATATTAAAATTCTTTGTGACACTATAGTATTGAAATTAGATTAATATATGGCTTGAGACACATACTAATTTATTTCCCTAAAATTGGACTTGATTTCTATGTATTTTTCAAAAAATTATTTAGCAATAAAAATAGTTTTTAACAGGGCAGAGATTTATTATACTGTAGGTATTTTAATTATCATGAAGTGGAATTGGATCTAGAAATATTTAAAAAGGTGTTTTGTAAAAGAAAGTTTTGGAGATGGTTACAAACAAAAAATGTAACAACATCCTTAATTCATAAATATTCAATATTATAAAGTATGCAGAGCTTGAATGTATTTATCTGAAGAGATACATACTCTCAGGCTATATCCAAAAAGTTAAAAAATGTTCATTATTAAGCTTACATTTTATGGGGCCAGGGATTTAACTCAGAGGTTCTGCCGTCTGCTTCGCAAGTGCAAGGTCCCAAGTTTGATCCCAAGTACCCATCCCCCCCAAAAGTTTACATTTTATGTAAGTTTAGAGGAAAATTGGATGAAAAGTAGCATTCCCTTAGTACCGCTTCTCTGTTAATCTCCTCTGGTGTTGGGATGCTATCCAGGTTGCATTTGATGAACAGGCATTGATGTATTATTTTTAACTAAAGTTCATGGTATATGTTAAGGGTCACTTTGTATTGTGCAATTCTGAAATTTGCTCAGTGCATGATTTCATGCATCCATCTCTGCATTATCATACAAAAATAGTTTAACTGATTAAACGTGTTCTGTTTTCCACCTGTTGATTCCTTCCAAACTCCTGCCATCCCTGGCCATCTCTGATATCTTTACTGTCTCTATGGTTTTCCCTTTCCAAGAATATCATGCAATGAGAGTATTCTGTGTGTAAACAGCTTCTGCAGATTGCCTCTTTCACTTGTCACTAGGCATGTAAAGCTTTTGTGATATTAAATTTTCTAGTACTTGATCTCCACTTAGTAGAAGACTTGTGTCTCACATGTTTTAGATGAGCCTTCTGTCAGTATGGTTTCTTTTAGTGAAAAAGACAACTAGAGTTTATTTTAAATTTTGACTATCACCTTATAACTTCTCAAAGTCTTTCTCATGGATATTCTAGGGATTCTGAGCATCAAGGAAACTACAAACTCAACATGGACAAAAGCTTCCCTATGAACTGAAATGTTTCAAAAGCACATTATGCTTTGATAAAATGCTTACCAGGGGAGTTTGTGTCTTTTCTTGACACCAGGTACTACATTTAGGGGCCAAACTGTGCCTTAGAATAAAATGTTCAACATTAGAGTGGTGCTCTAAACACCTAAGCTAGGCTTGAAAATTCTAAAGTGCTAAGCAATGTAAGGGGAAATGTGTAATTCTGGTGATGTTTTGTATAATGAACAGCCTATGTTGTGCTATATGAGCATCATTCTCTGACTACAGTAATGTTAGTAACAGCCATTAAGTATTTACTTAAACCTAACCAATGTCTAGCTGTTTTCCAGGTACTGTGTAAGATATGAATGTATATATCATGGTCACTGCTCTTAGACTGTATACAAAATCTACAGAGAGTTGATAAAATCTACAAAATAAAACTCATTCAATAGTTAAAAGGATAATTAGGAGATTTGTGATTTCCTCCTCATTCTCTCTGTATGACCTTGAATACATCAAGAAGCCTTGTTTGTTGTTCAGATATTTGCTCATTTGGCCTATTGTGATAACTTCTTGTGTTCTATTCTGCAAATAAATTACCCTGTAGGTTACTGTTCGGAAATAAAAGGAGGAAGACAGTGTAAAACAAAAACAAAAAAATGTATAATACTGTTGGGTGTCTTAGCAACTTTTATCTCCTGTTGAAGGATTACAAAAATGAAGGAAGAATTAAGATTAGTTTTAAAATTTGTCTTTTATGTATTTTTTAAAAGACACATCAAAACTTAATATTCTATAAATATAGCATTACAAGGAAAAAAGTGGCTTACAGTATTGAAGCAACTGATAAACTCTTTGCAAAGATCAACCTTATACCCTCACCCCCTAAAGTATCTCCAAATAAACATTGATCAAAATTTTCTTTTCATTAGTTAGGTTAAATGAATTACGTGTATAAACAAAATTCCTACTGAGTTAAAGACAATTGTAAAAAAGAAAAGGCAACAAAAACCGAAAACTAGTGTATTTATCCAGACCTAGGTTAAGACAAAAAAGTTCAAGCACATGTCTAAAGCTAGACTTCTAAAGAAAACTATGCTAAAATACCGCAAGCTGCACAAAAAGTCAACTAACACAAACATTATATGACAGGGCCGGAGATTTACTTCAGTGGTTCTGCCGCCTGCCATGCAAGCAAGCGCAAGGGCTTTCTGCCGTGATGTCATCGAGATGCTGTTTGTCCCTGCACCGCCTTTCCGCTGTGGCAGTGACCAGGTGAACCACTGTCCTGTGATGGTAACACATTGGTTTTAAACTTTTGTGGTGGGGGCACTGGGTTTTTGGCTCTCGTTTCCAGCACGTTCATGTAATGAGGCCTCTTAGGAGGCCCAATGCAGAGGCTCAAGGTCTAGAAATGATTTAAAAAATTATGGTACACCCATGAAAAGCACACCTGTGCTTGCTCCTGAGTGGTGTTCACCTGGGTCTGCAATCGTGATCCTTTGCAAACTGTCAATAAACAGGTTGTCCAAGCCGCTGGAAATATCATCTGAGTGACCTGAAACAATGCTGCGGGACACTCTCCCAGCCTCAGTTGGGCAAAGCGTCCGGGCCCTGCTGTTGGAAGCTGGGTGCTGGTTCCCTGTGGACTCAGCCTCCGGAGTCTGTTCATTGTCTTTGTGAGTAGGATGCACCAGTCGCTGCTTTTCTGGAGTTGTTTTGGATGACTTGATTTTATCTACAGGGGAACAGCCAGGAACTAGTGACGAAACATCAAGCATCTGGTCAGAATTCGGGGTCTTCTCTATGTCAACATCAACTCCTGCAATTGCCTTTTGCCTTAGCTCAAAGTCTACACTAACAGGGTAAAGCGGTCACTATTTGCTCTTTTCTCTTCACGTTCTGCAATGGCAGCTTTCAGTTTGGCAGCGGTGTCTGAGCTCTTTTTACCTTCGTCGGTCAATTTGCAAATGAATTTTCCGTTGCGCAAAAGTCTCTCCGGGGGCCTCAACGTCTCCTGCAGCTCCACCGAACTCTGCCGCCCCGGCCCTCGGGAGCTCAGGGCTCCGGCCGCGGGGCAGGGAGGACGTGGGGGCTGCGGGGCTGCGGCTGGCGGTGGGCCCCCTCGTCAGGTCCCGCGGCGGGCGCCGCATCTGCGACCCAGGGCGACCCCGCGGCGCGGGCGGGGGGGTCCCCATTTTCCAGGAAGAGCGCTCATGTATTTTAATGAGAAAGTAAATGATCTCTTCCTTAAATCATTCATTTACTTATGCTGAGTCTGGAACAAAATGAAGACTTTATTCTTTTTTTTTTAAAAGGCATAACATAATTTTTATTATATTTCAAAGAAAACAAAATTATGATTTACACATCACAATATATGAAGAGGGTTCACATACACTGAGAAGTCCACCTTGTTTCTAAGCTAATAACAAAATTTTGCCTTTATTCTTATAAATTCTCTCATGTATAAAACTCAGATGAGAGTGTTGCTGGGCTGTGTTTGAGAGAGTCTCAAAGCTGAAACAAGGAATTTAATCCACCCCTTCTGTTGCAGACTCACTAACTTCCATCCTGGAATAAGAATTTTTTGGACAGGGCAGTAAGAGGCATGGGAAGGGAGTATTAGAGGTTTAGACTTGATCTTAGCCAAAAGGCTGAGAAGCGACGATTAGAGATATAGGATGCACTCGAGTGTGCAGTGTGGGTTCTCAGAGAAATGAGACACTTTATAGTTTGGAACCGGAAACATTTATACTTTTCCTGAGGCGGGGAAAGCCTGGCAAACGTACTTCATCCTCCTTCCAAAAAGGGTATGTATGTAACACATTACACGGGCCTGGGCTTTTTTGAGTGGGGGATAGGTTATTTAAACACTCTCTGGGTTATCTCAGCCTGCTGTATCTTTTTTTAATTGGGACCATTTTTGCCATTTAATGATGGATCTAGAAAGGAGGGAATGTAAATCTAACCACAGGGGTGTTGACTGAGTTGCTTTACCCCTAATCAGGCCCCTGCTCTTACTTTCTTACTTGAGCCAGTTTATGGCCTTGGGTAACTTGGCTGAGTCCTGAAAGGTGAAGTCTTCTTGAAAGTAGTTTTTGGTTATGATTTTCTTATCTCCTGTCTACCTATCTTTTGTTTTTTCAATACTACCTCAGAGTACTTATTCTTTCTATGCAATGGCTTTTCCAAGGACTCTACCTTTGGAATGAGTTAGATCTATCTAATAAGGAATTTGTTCTTAACACCATTCCTGTTTTCTATTGATAATATAATGTAAACCATAAAAATGATTACTTGGACTTTCCAAAGTCTGAAGTGTGGTCTAGAAATAGAGTGAATGTTTAAAATTTTGAAAATGATTACAGCAAAAGACACTTAAGCCCTCTCAAAATACTCCCCCTTGCATTGAACACACTTATTTTTATCATTCTTGCCACTTTCTGGCAGTTCTGGAAGTCCTCTTTCAAGATTGCCTTTCATTGCACTGTCTTGCTGCTCAAAGTCCTGAATTAATTCAAAACATTCACCTTTCAGGGTCCCTTTGACATTAGAGAGAGCCAGAAGTCACACGGTGCCAGATCCACTGCAGTGTGGATGAGGACATGGTGTAATGCTTTGACATGCCTGGCTTTCCACTGGATAACTCCTGGCCACAGCAGCCACTCTCACCATGATTGCGACTTAGAAAGACATTAAAGAAAGAAAATGTCCAGAACTGCTTCAGAAAGTGGCAAGGATGATGGAGCAAGTGTATTCAAAGCAAGGTATTTCAAGGGTGATTAAAGGCAACATGTTTTCTTTGTTGTAATACATTTTAAAAAAGCATTCACTGTATATTTTGATCAAAATGTATATGTTGTGAAGACAGTCCTACTAATGTGACCAATTTTAACCACTTAAAAGAAAAAATAGTTTTAATCACTGTAAGTCTTGTGATTATGGGGAATCAGAGAGTGGCATAGCAGTTACTTAGCTGATTTTCATGGACCAACATCAGAGATAATATATATATAAAATATTTAGTGCAGCTCCTGGAACATAGCAAATGTGTGATTACTTATATTTTATTGGACAGCTTTCCCCACCTTTTATAATTTATAAATAAATAAAAAGATTAACATTAGAGTTTCATGCCTTTGAGGATCCCACCCATGAAGCATAGTCTGAAAAATACTTAACTTTAGCTTAGAAGTCCCCATTACATGTTTTGAATATTTACTTTTCAGAATACCTACTTTATTAAGGTACAATTCAAGTACTGTACTTGTTTGGGCCAATTTATTTTAACAAGTTAAATGTTCTGTGACAGGGCTGATGGAGAGCATTTTGCTATAAATGAATGACTTGAAATAATAGTTTTATATTGTGGTAAAACGTTCACAGAATTTATCATTTTAACTATTTTAGCTGTGCAGTATAGTCAGTGGCACTTAATTACATTGATATTGTTACTTATAGAAGTTTTGAACTTTTCTATATTTAAAAAATTTTTGTTCAGTGTTCCTTTTTTAATCACAAGTGACATCATAACTTCATAACACAAAGGAGAAAATTCACTTTTGCATTTTTTTTCTAGTTTTTACTCAAGCTGGGTCAAAGTTATGGCTAACAATTCCTGCTTAAGAATTTGTCAGAATTTGAATGTAAATTTCCTTTGCTTAACAGCTTTTCTTCTAGAGAGCACACTAAGAAAAAAGTTTTAAATTGGGATAGAATAATGAGATGGTTAAAATTATACTTTAACTATGATTACATTACTTAATATTTAGGCACAGAAAAATACTGTACATGGGTAAATTTGAAAGAAAGTATGGAGTATTATAAAGTTGACATAGATAAAACACATTCTTCAGTTGAATAAACATTTTTATGAGAGTTGCTTTTATACAAGGCACTTTGCTATGTACTATGGGAGTTACAAAGACAAAATGTGGAAATTTAATCTAATTAGAAAGCCAAGCACAGAATAAGGTAAGGTTGCAGAAGATTGTGTTTAGAACAGCACAAAGATGAATAATTTAGTTTAATTGGTGATTTACAAATTTGTTAATGGTATACTTTTCATTTTTTTATATAAAATAATTAGAGATTATAGATTAAAATATAGAGTCATTCTCTTTGTTGAAAAACCATTCCTTAGTTTATATTTTGAAATACCTTTTAATTTTGAGAATTTGATTTGTTTCAATAAATCAAAAGATTAAAATAAGCTTTCCAGGATAGGAAATAGTGTACTATAATCCCAGAATTTAGAACAAATTATTTTTCAATACTTTATATATTACAATGCCGATAAAGAACAATGAATGCTTTCATCTTCTATTTACTTATGTTCCTGTGGAGACATTATTTCTCTGAGATCTCTGTACTGAAGTGTGATTTGTAATTTAAAACTAAGGCATGCTGCTCAGACTTCTTTCCTTGTTTCCATGTATCTCTCCTATTCTTTCCATATTAATTTTCTTTTTCCAAAGGCTTTCTCTTTGCTTATCTGTCATGTTCTCCTTTCCCAAATACTATTCTTTTTATAAAATACTCCATATAGCTACCATCTGCTTCCTCCTCTACTTTTTGTAATGTTCTTGACTGAAATTGCTTATACATAGAATCATAAACTTTTAGAACTCAAAGAGATTTCATGGTAAATATCTTCATAGTGGTATAAGATTATGTTGCTTAACTCTTGCTATACATTTTTAGATTTCTTTTTTCAAAATTGTCTTCTCCTGAAGCCGCTTATAATTATTTGAAGAATATAAGATTAATGTTTATTTAAATCATCTCTCTTTAGGACAACATTTTCTGTGTTGTACTGTTATAAGAAGGATTTTTAACATCTCTTAAGCTACTTCTAATTTAATTTCGCTATATTTGCTTGCAAAAGTATTGTTAATTTATCATAATGTATATGTGTATAGTTTTTAAAAATTTAAAGTGTGTTCTATATTTTGCTTAAATGAATCCTTCCAACAATCCATTACTGTTTTCCTTTTTATTTCCATAGCAAAACCTATATTGAATGACTTTTTCAAGGAAGCCAATTGTTAAGACTTTGGGTCTAATCCAGTATCTGGTGTTTGGTAAATAGTGGTTAAACTGCAATGAAAGCTCATTAACTTCATAACTGTTGCCTACTTTCATGCTGCTTTTCTTCTTTGTTTCCTCTTCCCCTTTTTTTCTTTCTTACTGAGCATTACTGTATGCAACCACACATCCGGCCAACTCCTGGGTAGACAGTGGACATAACACACAGTCTCTGCTCTCATGAGCCTGACAGCTGGATCAGTATAGCAGGTATATATTAAATAGTGAAATAAAAATTAAAGTTAATTATTATTTTGAAAAATCTTTCAGGCAAGAAGTACAAAGGAAGAAATTCAAGAGTAGAAACATTTATGTATCCATAGTACACAGTTTCATAATTAACCTTTCAAATGCTAAAATATGTATTCATGTTTGCAATGATATTTATAAAAAGGTAGTTTGAACTTTCATAATGTGGAGTATTCACTTAAATAAAGTATTAATAAAAACTTAGTTTCCTCAATGATAAATGTATATTTTTGAATATTAGACATGAAAGACATAGGACAGCACTAAGTGATATAAGGTTGATGGTTCTCATTCTCAGTGAGCACACTCTGAAAGTTTACTCTACATCATCTGCTATTTAACTTTTGGCATTTGCCATGGTTGTGTTTTTAAAATATAGTAGATTGTAAATAATTTAGACAATAAATATTTTAATATATGAATATTCAAGTATCTAAGATTGTGTAATAGTTGAAAAGTTTCAGGAAGCAATTTATGCCTATGTCCACATTTCTTATCACTTTTAAATCCTAGCATTATTTCTGCTAAAGCTCATTTTACCAGATTAGTGAAGGAACTTCTAAATTTAATGCGTGTGATATATTAAATACTTAAAACACCACTTTCCTTGGGTGTCACCAGGCAAGATTAGAATAATGAGACAATGTTAACAAAACATAAGGATTTTATCTAAGGTTTAGTCAATCCCTCAAACTTAGTTCTCATGAATTTTTTTTTTTTTTTTTTTTAGCACAGCTCATTCCTAAATGTAGGCTATAACAGTAAAATGCAATCAAAGGACTTTAACATTTTTAGAATGATTATTGGTTACATAGCTTAAATATTTTTTCGGTTTTTATTTTATTAGTATGTTTGCAGTACATAATGATTGTATTCCTCACGGGGAGTTGGTACATGTACATAATACATCTTAAATATTTTTTCTTGTATTCCCCCTCCTCTTTCTTGCTCCATCCATCTTTTGGTCTCTTTCCCTTCTGCATAAAATGTATCTCTCTTTTTTCTATTATCTATCTTTTATTTTGTTCTTTATGCTTTAGATTCCTCACATAAGAGAAACCATGTGATACTTAAGCTTGTGTACGATTTATCTTACTTAACATATGGTCACAAGGCACATACATTTTCCTACAAATGACTCAAGCTTATCCTTCTTCAGGGAAGAGTAGTATTCCACTGTCTATAACACTACATTTTATTTATCCATTCATCTGTTGATGGGCATATGGACCACTTCCAAGATTTAGCTATTATGAACTGTGCTGCTATAAACATAGGTATGCATGTGTCTCTGTAATGTGATGTCATTAACTCTTTTGGGAAGATACTGAGGAGAAGAGCTGGAGTGAATAGAAATTCTAGTTTTAGTTTTTTGAGGAATCTCCTTACTGATTTCCATAATGATTGTACTAGTGTACACTCCCACCAACAATGTAGGAGGGTTTCTTTTTCCTCTCAGACTCACAGCATTTCTTATTATAGGACTTCTTGATGATTGCCATTCTTTCTAGAGTAAGACAGAATCTCAGTATTGTTTTAATTTGTATTTTTCTAGCGGTCAGCAATGTTGAACACTTTTTTCTATATTTATTGGCCATTTGTACTTCTGAGAAATGTTTATGCATTTCAGGTGCCCACTTTTTTACTACATGTTTTATTTTGGAAGTATCATAATCCCAGATTTCATGTGACAGTACAAAGCTACAGTAATAAAAACAGTGAAGTATTGACACAAAACAGGTATATTAATTAATTGAACAGAATGGAGGATATAGAAAAATGCCAGGCACATCCAGCTACCAAATACACACTGGAGGAAAGAGCCTCTATAACAAATGATGCTGGGAAAATTGGCTATCCAAGTACAGAAGATTAAATCTAGATCTATATCTCTCACCATGTTTATACTAAATTAACATAAAATGGGCCAAATTTAAATGTTAAAACAAAAACAATATATCTGCTAGAGGACTAAATAGGTAAAACTCTTGATGGTATAGATTCAATATTCTTTGTCTTTAAATTTTGTAATATTGCTGGGCTCCTATCCATGAGAGACTTCAATTTTGGAAATTATAGAATTTGTAAAAAAATGTTCCTGCCTCATATGGAGAAATAAAAATCCTTCTACCAGTAAAGATGTCATATTTGAGCTTCACTGATGAGTCTACGTCATATTCATTTTTCTGACCTAATATTTCATTATTTAATATTTTCCTCTGATGTGTGTTCTGTGGCATAATAGACTAATACTTTTTTCTTTGACCTAAAAGGACATATTCAAGATTGCATTATGGTTTTGTAATGGAAAAGAAGGCAAGCAAGAGATGAAAATAAATTTACCGTGATTTTTGGTTGAATCATATTGTGCATTCCCAAAATGGGTGTCAAACGTATAAAGTGAAAGCAGAAGCAGCATACTGTAGCAGAAAGAACATGGATTTGGAGTGTGAGAGATCTGATCCCAAATCATAATAATCTCTTACATTCTGTTTCTTCATCTACAAATTTCTGATGATAAAATCGTTCAGGTTTTTCTAAAAGTCAGAATTATAAGTAAAGTCTGTAAGTCACCAAACAGCATGCCTGTTGTACGATAGACCTTTAATAAATGGTAGCAATTAATATTTAAACTTTATTATATGTTCAAATGCTTTATATAGGAATTCAGAGACTTTATCAAGAATAGTTGTTCAGTACTATTTTGCATGACACTGGTTCTAGGCTTTTGAAATGTAACAGTGAACCATATAAATAGTTTTCCAATCTTGTGAACCCTACATGTCTCTGGGGGCAAACAGATAATAAACAGCAAATGAATAAATCCTATGCTTTGTAGCAGGTGATAAGCAAAAGCAGGAAAAGGGTTAAGAAAGAAGATGATATATGTGAGAGAGGAGGCTATAACGGAGTGTTCTGGGTAGAGTTCATTGACAAATTGAGACAGTAGCGAGGATTTGAAGAAGGTGAGAGAGTAAGAGCTGGTTTAAGATTAAAATAGATTATTCTGGTAATTTGCTTGAAAACTGTTGGTGCGGATAAAAGAATCAGAGACAGACCTGTCAGTAGGTGAGACAGACAAGGAGCTTGGGAGGAGGTGGTGGTCTAGCTGATTAAGAGCTCATTTTATCCTGCATGTACTTTGAGGGTAAAAGCAAAAGCATTTCTGACGTGGAATTTCTGATGTGGGAAAAAAGAGTCACACATAATGAAGACACTAAGTATAATGGCAGCAACTTGAAGGGCACCATCAGAGGTAGTACTTAAGGGTTGAGGAAATTTGGAAAGTAATATCAGGAATTTGATTTTAGACATATTGAATTTGAGATATCAATTAGATATTTGAGTAGAAATGCTGGTGATACAATAACTTACAAATCTGGACTGTTGGAGAGAGCTTTGTGTTAGAAACACAATTCTGTGAGTCATCAGCCTGTGGAAGGTGTTTAAAGTCGTGGAAAAAGACACAATCACCAAAGGAGTGAGTGTTGGTAGAGGAGGGGAAGACAAAAGATTTGATGTGAAATGCTCAGTGAAGAGAGGACGAATCCTCAAGGAGAAGTGAGATGGCAGGAAAACCAAGGCAATGCAGGGTTCTGAAATCCAGGTGAAAAAAGATGCTCAGTGCAGGTGGAGATGGCCTTGAGCAGAACAGTTTCAATGCAGTGATACCACAAGCTGACTGACACAAGGACAAGAAATACTGTGAAAGAAATAAGACAGTAGCTGCCAACAGCTGTTAAGGGACTATTACTGCAAAGAAGAGCAAGGAAATGAGTACCGTAGTTGAGGAAGAAAATGAAGATCTTTTCAAAACAGGGAAATAATAGTTCTTTGAATGACATTAGATATTTAGTAAAGTAAAAAAAGTTTATGTGGAAGACAAAGGAAAGCATGGTGTGTAGATAGAAATAACATCCAGTGCACTTGGGGAAGAATTGGCTTTAGCTATTTACCATGATGATTTCTTATTTCTGGTAACAGTGAGACAGCAGGAGGGTGCAAATATGATCGTGAGAATCTCTTGATGTTCTCTTCCGATTATTTCACATCTTCCATAATGTAGAAGGGTGGTGTTCTGAGAATGCTGTTTGAAAGGACGCATTTATGGGGTTTCCAAAGAGCAAAGACAGTGTGAATCAATTCTGTCAGAAGCAAGAGATTAAATGGGCTCAGGATCTACAGTATGTTTGCCTGATGCTGTTCAGGTCCAATTTGAGATCTGTCAGATTGAATGTTAAAGAGCAGTCACATATGGGATGGGATTCTTTTGCACTCATGTCCACCTTCATGTGTTCAGGTTAGAGTAGGTACAGGATTGAATATCACCAGGAATATGACTGCCAGGCACACTCAAAACAGAGAAAAAGGACAAGGAAGGAAGTCAAGATCATGCAAAGAATGATTATCAGGATTATGTAGCCTAAACTGTGTGAGAAGAAAAGTAAGGCATCAAAAGGAAATAAGGGACAGGGAAAGAGTAGCAGGATTGATAGCTTGGAAATCCCAGTGTAATCACAAGTTATTGGGTTAAGGAGATGATAGAAAGAGAGCTGTAAGATAGAAGATTATCAACAGAGAATGAGATGTGTGCAGCTGGAATAGTTGCTGTGTCTATGACGTGACAGTGGGAAGAACAGCTGAGGTAGTGTGAGGGTTTTGTCACTGTAGCAAATGGATTCAAATAACTCAGAGGCCAGAGTGCTGAAAGAATTTTGTGCATGGATATTGAAATAGCCAAGAGTTAGGAAAGGGGGCAGTACTGGAAAGTGAGAGAGATCCAGGCTAAAGTTGTTGAGAACTGAGAG